TCTGGTGCCCACATGTACTCACCAGCAAATTGGTATTAAGGAATCAACACCTAAGTGGACATATAGGAGTAACATTTATCTGGTGTCGGGAGGGGGGAGGAGGGCATGCGTATATACAACCACAATAAGGAAGATGTGCAACATTTGGGGGATGGACACGCATTAAGCTCTTACTCAAGAGGGTAGGGGGGCATGGGCAATAGATGTAACCTTAACACTTGTACCCCCATAATACGCTAAAATAAAACAAAAATCTCTGGTGCCAGTAAACACGTTATTGTAAAGAAATCCAGTTAGTGACATGCAATACATCCATGTCTGTCATGAGATTCCTTGGGACTCCTTCACTCCGTAGAGGAAAGGGCTGGGACTCAACATCAGTCACACTCGCATGAATTCCAAATCCTGCTATAGGCAGCCGAGTGATAAGCATTCATGTCCCAAGTTCTGTCTGCAGGACTGCCACATTTCCTGCTTTCTCACAGTCCCTTTACCCAGGCCTTTACGCCTTTTCCAATATTCTCTACAGGGCAACAGAGTGAGACTATGTCTCAAAGAGAAAAATATAAACATTATTATTATTTTTTTTTTTTTGGTAGAAATAGAAATCTTTCTATTTTGTACACTCTGGTCTCCAACTTGTGGCCTCATGCGATCCTCCTGCCTCAACCGCTCAAGTAGCTGTGATTTACAAGTCTTGAGTCCCCACATCTGGCCAGTTAGGCTTCAATTTTTCCAATTGCAAAGGGAAGCAAGCTGTCTTTACTTGGCCACACAGAAACCAAATGCAAATACGTAGTGCTGAGATATCAGCAGCAACATCCCAGAACTCAAATATGAGGCTGAGACACGTTCTGGGACTTCAGAGAATGACAAAACTTTGGGTAGACAATTGGAGAATTGACTTCCATATGTAGGGTGACACTTCTTGAATCTGCCCTCCACTAATCCATGGAAAATTTTTCCTGATTCATAGCTTTTTCACTTGAAATGCTGCAATGCGGGTGACAATTGGCTTCCTTACAATCTTGTATTTTCTGGCAGGAGACCTGTCCCTTCAACCCCGGAAAACCATCAGGAGAACGTGAAGGGAGATATATTCCTGAGGACAGCCAGAGACACCGGGGACAGGTGGGACTTCCATCCCCAGGCCCAGAGACTCCGCTCTGCTACTTGGGCAAAGGGAAAGCTAAAGACAGTGGCTGTTCAGCAGTTCCACACTGTAGGGGGTTTGTTCCACAGGTCCCCTGGGCACAAACCCTTAGCCAGCCTTCCCACACTGCTAGGACTTTTGGGACCTCGCCCACGCAGGACAGGTGGCTGTCCTGTTGTACATGGTGTTAGAGCCAAGGCCAATGCTAGCTTAGGGGCTTTCTAGTGCCAAGAAAGAGCCCAAACTCCTGTCCAGCCTTCCCACCCTGCCGCCCTATCCCCTTTGGGACTTTCCCATTTGAGAGCTCAGAACGCTGAAGAGTTACTCAAACTGAGCAGATCCTGGGCTTAAGGCAGCATGACGGCAGCACACAGAGCACTTTCACTGCCCTGAACCTGCTCTGTGCTCTGCCCATTCATCCCTCCCTCCCACTCACCTCTGTCATCCACTGGGCTTTTTACACTCTCCCTACTTTGCCTTTGCCAGGGGCTCACATGGTGGAAATCACACAGCATGCAGCCTTTCCAGGTTGGCTTCTTTCACTGAGTAACAGCCACTGAAGTTTCCCCATGTCTACTCATACAGTAATAACATTCGATTGTTTGCATGATCAGAGTTTATGCATTCGCCTAATGAAGGGCCTCTTGGCAACTTCCCAGTGTGAGCAGTTATGAACAGAGCCGCTGTGACCATCAGGGTGCAGGGCTACTCGCTTCGGTAAAGGGTAAAGAGCAAGACTGCCTGACCGCCCGGAAAGGGTGTGT